TTATATCTCTATAGATTTGCCTATTTCTGGACATTTTATGTAAATGGAATCATGCAGTATGTGACTGGCTTCTTTCACTTAGCACATTTTTGAAGTTCATCCACATAGCACATCAGTACTTCATTCCTTTTTATGGCTAAATAATATTTCTTTGTATGTGTATACCACATTCTGTTTATCTGTTCATCTGTTGATTGACATGTGGGTTGTTTCCACCTTTTGCTACTGTAAATAGTGCTACTATGAACATTCATGTACAAATATTTGTTTGAGTACTTATTTTCAGTTCCTTTGAATATAGACCTAAGAGTGGAGTTGCTGGGTCATGTGGTAATTTTATGTTTAACTTTTTGAGAAACCATCAAACTGTTGTCCACAGCGGCTGCACCATTTTGCATATCTACCAGCAGTATATATGGGGTCAAGTATCTCCACATCCTTGCCCACACTTGTTATTTTCCCCTCTTTTTGATAACTACCCTGGTGGATATAGAGTAGTATTTCATTGTGGTCTTTATTTTTCATTTTCCTGTTGACGATCTTAAGCATCTTATGATATCTTTGTTGGCTAATTATATATCTTTGAAGAAATGTCTGTTCAAATCCTTTTCCCATTACTTAACTGGGTTAACTGGGTTATTTGTCTTTTTGCTGTTGGCGTGGTAAGAGTTCTTTGTATAGTCTGCTTATCAAACCCTTATCAGATACGTGACTTACAAATGTTTTCTCCAGTTCTGTAGGTTGTGTTTTTCATTCTCTTGCTAGTATTGTTTGATGCACAAAAATATTTAATTTTGTTGAAGTATAATTTTTTTCCTTTCTTGTTCAAGCTTTTAATGTCGTATCTGAGAATATGCCAAATCCAAGATCATGAAGATTTACCACTATGTTTTCTTGTAAGAGTCATACAGTTTTAGATGATTGATCCATTTTGAGATCATTTTTTAATGTGTTATGAGGTAGGGATCCAGCTTTATTCTTTGGCATTCCAGTATCTAGTTGTCTCAAGTACCTCTTGAAGAGACTATTCTTTCTGCAGTCTTGGCACACTTGTCAAAAATCAATTATCCAGGGGCACCTGGGTGGCTCAGTTGTTTAAGCGTCTGCCTTTGGCTCAGGTCACGATCCCAGGGTCCTGGGATCGAGCCCCACATCGGGCTCCCTGCTCAGCAGGGAGCCTGCTTCTCCCTCTCCCACTCCCCCTGCTTGTGTTCCCTCTCTCTCTGTGTCTCTCTCTGTCAAATAAATAAAATCTTAAAAAAAAAATCAATTATCTATCTACACACACACACACACACGCAGATGCTTAACAACTGAGCCAGACGCCCCAAGCAGTTGGGATTTTTATGGAAATTGTGTTGAATCTATAGATCAGATTTGGGAATGTTGCCACCTTAACAATATTAAGTCTTTCAGTCCGTGAGCCTGTTATCTTTCTATTTATTTAGGTATTCTTTAATTTCTTTAAACACTTGTCTTACAGTTTTGGGTATAAAAAGCTAGCACTTGTTAAATTTATTCCTGTATATTTTTTCTTTTCGTTGCTATTATAAATTGAATTGTTTCCTTTGTTTCATTTTCAGATTGCTCATTGTAAGTATATAGAAGTATAATTAATTGTCGTATATTGATCCTGCTCCCTCCAACCTTGCTGAGCTCATTTATTAGTTTTAATAGTTTTTAGTAGATTCTTTAAGATTTTCTATACAGGGCGCCTGGGTGGCTCAGTTGGTTAAGATTTTCTGTACATAATGGGTGCCTGCATCGCTCAGTCAGTTGGGCATCTGCCCTCAGCTCAGGTCATGATCCCAGAGTCCTGGGATCGAGCCCCACATCAGGCTCCCTGCTCAGTGGGTAGTCTGCTTCTCCTTCTCCCTCTCCCCCTGCTTGTGCTCTCTCTCTCTCTCTCTCTCTCTCTGTGTCAAATAAATAAATAAAATCTTAAAAAACAAAAAATATTTTCTATACATAAGATCATGTGAGCAAAAAAGATAAATTTTACTTCTTCTTTTTCAATATGGATTCCTTCTGTTTCTTTTTCTTGTCCTCCAGTACGATGTTGAGTAGAAATGGCGAGAGTATCCTTGTCTCGTTCCTGATCTATGGAGGAAAGCATTCAGTGTTTTATCATTAGCTGTGGTTTTTTTCATAGATATCTTTTATCCATTTGAAGAAGTTTCCTTCTATTCTTAGTTTGTTGAGAGTTTTTATTAAGATAGGTTGTTGGATTTTGTGGAATGCTTATTCCGGGTCTGTTGAGATAGTCAGATTTTTGTACTTTATTAATAATAGGTATATTACATTGATTTTCTTACATTGAACCAACCTTACATATCTGGGATAAATCCTACTTGGTGATGGTATATCATACTTTTATAAGTTGCTGGATTTAATTTGCTACTATTTTGTTGAGTTTTATGTCAGTATTCATAAGATATTTACCTACTGCCTGGTTTTAGTATCAGGATAATACTGACCTCATAGAATATAATTTGAGAAGTGTTTCCTCTTTTTTTTGAAAGAGTTTGTGAAGAATTGGTGTTAGTTTCTTTTTAAATGTTGAGGAGAATTCTTCAGGGAAGCCATGTGGGCATAAGCTTTTTTTTGTAGCAACTTTTAAAATTACTATTTCAATCTCTTATTACAGGTCTATCCAGATTTTTCTATTTTTTCTTGAGTCAGTTTTGGTGGTTTGTGGCCTTCTAGAGATTTTTCCCATTCCATCCAGATTACCTACTTTGTTGCCATATAGTTGTTCAGTCAGTTGGGCATCTGCCCTTATGATATCTTTTATGTTTCTGTAAGGTCGATAGTGATGTCTCTTCTTTCATACCTGATTTTAGTAATTTGAATCTTCTGTCATTTTTTCTTGGCCTATTTAGACAAAGTTTTGTCAATTTTGTTGATCTTTTCCAAGAAGCTACTTCTGGTTCCATTGATTATTGTTTTCCTATTCTGTGTTTTCGTTAATTCCTGCTCTAATCTTTATTAATTCTTTTTTTCTGCTTGATGTACATTTAGTTTGCTCTTCTTTTTCCACTCTGTTAAGGTAGAGGTTAAGTTACTGATTTGAAATTTTCTTTTTTAAGTAAGCACTGTGCCCAACATGGGGCTTGAACTCACAACCCCAAGATCAAAAGTCACATGTTCTACCAACTGAGCCAGCTTGCCAACCAGCTACCCCATCTTCCTTTTTAATGTAGGCATTTATAGCTATACATTTCCCTATAGACACTGCTTTAGCTACATCCGGTAAGTTTTACGTTGTATATTCATTTTCAGTCCTCAGATTATTTTCAAATTTCCCTTGTGATTTCTTCTTTGACCCATTGGTTATTTAGGAGTATGTTGCTATGTGTTTCTAAATGAAGTAAATTCATTAACAGTGCTTCTTTATATCATATTACAAAAGTACATTAACAACCTTAATCGTGAATGTAAAGGACATAACAAAAGAGATTTGTGTACTCTGTTAAAAATTAAGTAAAAAAATTGAGCGCCTGGGTGGCTCAGTTGGTTAAGCAACTGCCTTCGGCTCAGGTCATGATCCTGGAGTCCCAGGATCGAGTCCCGCATCAGGCTCCCTGCTCAGCGCGGGGGGGTCTGCTTCTCCCTCTGACCCTCTTCCCTCTCATGCTTTCTGTCTCTCATTCTCTCTCTCTCAAATAAATAAACAAAATCTTAAAAAAAAAATTAAGTAAAAAAAATTGATAGTTGGGGTTATTTTAAACTGTTATGAAAAGTTTAATGTTTATTATATTCCTTTATTCCTTCCATAATGTTCCTTAAATTCATGCCTCCCAAAATAGTTTTGGGAGCCTGATTTTTATTATAGGGAAGGAGCCTAGATTGCATTTGTTGAAAAGAATAGTGTGTTTATTCACAGCATATTTATTCATTATGTTTGCTGGTGTGGAGGTGAAGGGGAGGTCATTTTTCCTAATAAAGAAAGATGGAGAGTGGTGGGTTTTTTTATTTTTGTTTTTAAGATGTTATTTTTAAATAATCTCTACACCCAGTGTGGGGCTCAAACTCACAACCTGGAGATCAAGAATCACATGCTCCACCAACTGAGCCAGCCAGGCACCTCAAGAGTGGTGTCTTTAAGATACAGTCTTTGTCCTGACCACCTTAAAAATGTGACAGTGGGGGGATGCCTGGGTGGCTCAGTCGTTAAGTATCTGCTTTCGGCTCAGGTCATGATCCCAGGATCCTGGGATCGAGCTGCACATCAGGCTCCCTGCTCCGCGGGAAGCCTGCTGCTCCCTCTCCCACTCCCCCTGCTTGTGTTCCCTCTCTTGCTCTGTCTCTCTCTCTCAAATAAATAAATCTTTAAGAAAAAAGAATGTGACAGTGGGGGCACCTGGGTGGCTCAGTCAGTTGAGCTTCCGACTCTTGGTTTCGACTTAGGTTGTGATCTCGGGGTTATGACATCAAGCCCATGTCAGGCTCCAAGCTCAGCGCAGAGTCCGCTTGGGATTCTGTCTCCCTCTGTCCCTCTCCCCCACTGTGTGTCTCTCTGAAATAAATAAATCTTTAAAAAAAAAAAAAGTGACAGTGGCTCTCTGTGGTTTCATTCTGTTTCTAATGGAACAGCATTGCAGTTGATCCAGAAATCAACTATTTTCCTATGTTATATGAGGGTTGAAGAAGAGCTGTGTGTTATCAACAGGGTACAATAGTATCCTGAATATTTTCTCTCATTTTAAATCTATTCCAACTTAATACTTTCAAGTACTTCTGGTATACTTATGTTCATTATTTTTAATGTACCTATAAGGTACATCAGAGTTTCTTGTAGGAAACCAAGATGTTTAATTCCTTCCCCCTACTTATTTTCTTTATCCCATCTAATAGAAATCAGTTTTTGTACATACTTCACTGACATCTAAAAACCAAACAAATATCTCTTAACCAGATTTGAAATCAGGAAAAAACTAAAAACAGCCAAAAAGAAAGAAAAGAAAGAAAAAAAGAAAAAGCAAGAAGAAGAGCAGGAAAAGAAAAAGCTGACACAGATTCAAGAATCTCAGGTAGGAAATTCAGTGGTCCTTGTTATCCAAAAAGTAAGCCTCAGTTTTGAGTGTGTGTGTGTGTATTTGTGTGTTTATGTAAAAGATGGTTTTATATTAATCAGCCTAGTTCAGTTTGTGCAAGACATATTGTCTTTATCTTGTAGGTTCACTAATCTCTGGACGTATCATTTCATCATTAACTGTGCTGTTCAGTTCCTTAGTAATTCTTCTCTCAGGTCTGCTTTTTAAAAAACAGCTCACTGCTGTGTGAGCATTCCTGAAGGGAAGTTGATAAACGTCCTGTCCCCAAGTAGCCGGATTAGGTCTGAGGTTTACTCACCTGTGTGTCATCCTGGACTTGGTAATAAATGTAGCTGCAAAAATTACTCATCTCTGAATTCATCACAAAAAGCTTGTTAAAAATATCCACAAATATAAGCCCTCTAGGGTGGCCTTCCATAAAGTGTTTATTCCTATAATTCTTAGGCTTTCTGTTTATTAGGCTGGTAAGACCAGAGCTGACTTTATGCTCTAGCCTCTTTGTCCACTAGAGGATGCTATTTTCCCCTAAACAAGTTTCAGTTTCTGCAGCCTATATAGATCCCCACTGGAAAATTGAATGATTGTTAGGTGTAGAGAATGTTGTCATTGGCTGTTAATAAAAACCATCCTACATATTTTTCCCTTCCCAGGTAACATCCCACAACAAGGAGCGGCGTTCCAAACGGGATGAGAAACTAGATAAGAAATCTCAAGCCATGGAGGAGCTAAAAGCAGAGCGAGAAAAACGGAAGAACAGAACAGGTCAGTGGGGAAAATGTAATGGCTGCTTTGTCTTTGGGATCATATGATTTGATGTTCTGGTGCCCGTTTATATTTTCCCCCCTTTTATCAGCCTTTTTTTTTAAGCTCTTTATTTTGGGTAATTCCAAACACGTACAGAGAATAGTATAATGAAACTCCGTGAACCCATCATCCATCCTCAACAATCAACTCATAACCAGTCTTGTTAAATCTATATTCCCCTCTTTCACTGGGTTATTTTGAAGTAAATCACAGCATCATTGTATTTCAACCATAAATATTTCCGTATGTGTCTTTAAAAGATAAGCACTCTTTTGTTTGAAACATTACAATATCATTATCACATCTAAAAAACAATAACAGTGACTTTCTTAATATTATCAAATATCTAGTCAGTGTTCACATTTCTCTAGTTGATATATAGTTAAAATATGCTAATTTGGTTGTTCGAATCAGGATCTTAAAAAAAATCCACACATTTTGAGTTGTTAATATGTCCCTGAGATCACTTAATCTGTTTAGGTTTTCCTCTTCATCTCTTTTTCCCCCTTGCAGCTTATTTTGAAGAAACTAGGTCCGTCATCCTGTAGTTTCTCAGATGCTCGGTACGTCCCATTGGAGGTGTTGAATGTGTTGCTCTAGTCTCTTGAATTTCCTGTAATTTGTAGTTAGACCTAGGGAATTGGACACATTTGGATTTATTCTGTTTTGGTTTCGGTTTTTGGGGGGGATGGTGAGGGGAGGCTGAGTTTTAGTGGTGGTGTATACTGCCATCAGGAGACACATAATACCTGTGTCTCACATTTTGTAATATTACCAGCTGTCATTTAGTTTTTACCACAAGAACGTGAAATAAAAGACTGCTCCAAACTCAGAAATACGCATTTGCTCCTGATCGTGGATCTGCAGTTGAGCAGAGGGTTGCCTCATATACAAGTTTGCTGGGATTGTCTCCAAGCTGCAGGTTGGGACCAGGTCTGTTACACCTGTCTCCTTCCTCAGACCAGTATACCTAGGGTACATTCTTCTCTTGGTGACGGTAGAAATGTAATAGCGGCAAGCAGAAATGCCAGATGCCTCTTGAGGCCTAGACTTGACATTGGCAGGTGCAGCGTCAGGTCTGTGCATATTCCATTGGCTGAAGCAAGTCACATGAGAGCCCATCATTAATGGCTGGGAGAACTACTGAGTCACATGGCAAAGGGCATGGGTACCGAGAAGGATGGAGAATTGGGAAATAATAATATATTCTATCCCAGTAGCCACTGATAATCATTACCTAGATCATTTCATTTATTATGAGTTGCAAAATGATGATATTCTAATCTATAATTCTTTCTTCATTTATTATCCAGTCTACTTTTACAAAGAGAAACTTCACATCAGCTATTTAGTTATCATTAGGTACATTAGGTACATTTTGTATAGGAAAGGCAGAAATGTGGATTTTTTTTTTCCTTTATTACTAGTTTTCAAAAGAATGAGATAGTACCTTAGCAGCTTCCAAAGGTGACCACTGAGGTTTATTTGCATATTTTAAGTGTGTGTGTGTGTTTATATATATATATATATATATATTTCTTTTTAAGATTTTATTTATTTATTTGAGAGAACAAGAGAAAGCACACGGGGTGGGAGAAGCAGACTCCCCCCTGAGCAAGGAGCCCCATGTGGGGCTGGACCCCAGGACCCTGAGATAATGACCTGAGCTGAAGGCAGAGGCTTCACTGAGCCACCCAGGCAACCCTGTTTGCTTATTTTGAATATCCTTTTGAATTCATGGATTTAAACATCCTTTTGTGTATTTTAATCCATTTATTTAATCAGTTGACTCTCAAATTGTCCCATCTTCAGTCGCTAGCCTGAGTCCTTTTAATGTGAGACTCCAGTAGTCTTCAGTAGCTTCCTTGCTTTCTGGATTTGGAATCTGCCATTTCTCTAAGGAGCCTCTTCATGAGAAACTGTTACTAGACACCATAGTCTAGACATAAGGAGGGCCCATGCTACTGGGCTGGCTATTATTTCTAAGCCTTTCAGTACAGAGAGCTAGGATTTTTTTTTTTTTAAGAATAAATTTTATCTTTATGAGCTCCATATTGATAAGTCCATTTCAGAATCAAAATGCAAAGGTTTTTGTTTTTTATAACAGCGATATTGAGATAAAACAAAGGTAGCGGGATGCCTGGGTGGTTCAGTTGGTTAAGCATCTGCCTTCAACTCAGGTCATGATCCTAGGGTCCTGGGGTGGAGTCCCGCATTGGGCTCTCTGCTCCCTGGGGAGCCTGCTTCTCCCTTTACCCCTCCCCCCTGCTTGTGGTCTCTCTCTTTCTCTCTCTCTCTCTCTCTCTCTCAAATAAATAAAATCTTTTAAAAAAAAAAGAAAGAAAGAAAAGAAACTACCAGACTGTTTTCCAAAGAGGCTTTTTGCATTCCCACCAGCAAAGTATAAAGGTTCCACTTTTTCCACATCTTTACCAAGACTCGTTAATTGTCTTTCTGATTATAGGCACCTTAGTGGGAATGAAGTGGTATTTCATTGTGGTTTTGATTTGCATTTTCCTAATGATTAGTGGTGTTGAACATCTTTTCATGTGCTTATTGACCATTAGGGTATCTTTCTTTGATGAAATGTCTGTTCAAGTCCTTTGCCCATTTTTTAATCAAGTTCTTTGTTTTCTGTTGTTGAGTTGTGAGTTCTTCAAATATTTTGAATATTAATCCCTCATCAGATATATGATTTGCAAATATTTTCTTCCATTCATAGGTTTCTTTTCACTCTTGATAGTATCTTTTTGTTGCATAAAAGTTTTTAATTTTGATGAAGTACAATTTAGCTTAATGTTTTTTCTTTCATTGCTTATGCTTTTGGTGTCCTATCCAAGAAATCATTGCCAGATCCAGTGTTGTGAAGCATTTCCCTTATGTTTTCTTTTAAGAGTTTTATAGTTTTAGCTCTTACATTTAGGTCTTTGTTTTTTGGTTTTGGTTAGTTTGGTTTGGTTTTTAGACAGAGAGGGTAGGGAGGGGCAGAGGGAGAGGGAGGGAGAGAATCTTATGTGGAGCCTTGCGCTCCATCTCACAACCCTGAGATCATGACCTGAGCCAAAATCAAGAGTCGGACGCTTTACGGACTGAGCCGCCCACGCGCCCCACATTTAGGTCTTTGATTCATGTATAGTATAGAGTAAGAGTCTGACTTTTTTTTTTTTTTTCCGCATGGTATGTCCAGTTTTCTCAGACACCCTTGTCGAAAATCACTTGACTGTATATGCAAGGGTCTCTTTCTGGGCTTTCTGTTTCAGTGATCTATGTGTCTTTCTTTTTTTTTAAAGATTTTATTTATTTGAGAGAGAATGAGAGATAGAGAACACGAGAGGGAAGAGGGTCAGAGGGAGAAGCAGACTCCCCGCCGAGCAGGGAGCCCGATGCGGGACTCGATCCGGGGACTCCAGGATCATGACCTGAGCCGAAGGCAGTCGCTTAACCAACTGAGCCACCCAGGCGCCCCTATGTGTCTTTCTTTTGAACGACTGTATTTTAATGTCAACTCTTAGAGTTCCTATTGTGTGATTATGCCATCGGTTGAATATTTCATTTTTCTTGTGATGTATAGAGGTGACTTTTTTATTATTATTTTATTCCGTGATTATATGAAATACAAAGTTCCAGGGGCACCTGGCTGGCTCAGTCAGTAGAGCATGCAACTGTTGATCTCGGGGTCTGTGAGTTCAAGTCCCATGTTGGGGGTAGAGCTTACTTAAAAAAACAAAAACAAAAAGCGTTCCCCAAATCAAAGCTGCTAATAAACAAGGTATATTCAAAGAGATTTAGTATCTGGGGGCACCTGGGTGGCTCAGTTGGTTAAGCGACTGCCTTCGGCTCAGGTCATGATCCCGGAGTCCCGGGATCGAGTCCCGCATCGGGCTCCCAGCTCAGCGGGGAGCCTGCTTCTCCCTCTGACCTTCTCCCCTCTCATGCTGTTTCTCTCTCTCTCTCTCTCTCTCTCTCTCAAATAAATAAAATCTTTAAAAAAAAAAAAAAGAGATTTAGTATCTGTACCTTTCTGTTTCACCCTGGCCTCCCTCCTGTAACAGGCAACCATTTAAAAAAAATTTTTATATCTTATCCTTCCTTTTTTTTTTTTAATGAAAGGACACAGATTCACCTTCCATCTTAGATTAATGGTAGCTTACCAGGCATACTTTTCGTCTACCTTGCTTTTTTCACTTAACCACAGGTCCTAGAGGTCACTCCTTAGTTTTTATGTCACATAGTGGTTGGTAGATGACTTTTTTTTTAAGTTTTATTTAAGTAATCTGTATACCCATTGTGGGGTTTGAATTCATGACTGGAGATCAAGAGTTGCACTCTCCAACTGAGCCAGCCAGGCACCTCTAAACTACATGATTTTGTAAATAGATTATTATTGGAAAGCAGTAGTGCCCATTTGTTTCATAATTGTAGCCGCTTTTTATCTACAGCAGCAAAGTTGAGTAGTTGAAATAGTGACCACATGAAGCACAATCCTAAAATATTTACTGACTACCCCTCCAAAAAACATTTTCTGACTCAGGATGCAGTGTAATGGCTCATTCTTTTTTGTTTTTAAAGATTTTATTTATTTACGGGTGTGTGGGTGGCTCAGTTGGTTAAGTGTCTGCCTTCAGCTCAGGTCATGATCCCAGGGTTCTGGGATCAAACCCCACATTGGGCTCCCTGCTCACGGGGAGTCTGCTTCTCCCTCTCCTCCCCACTCGTGCTCTCTCTTACTATCTCTTTCTCTCTCAAATAAAAATCTTTTTTAAAAATTTTTATTTATTAATTTATTAGACAGTGTGAGCAGGAGGGAGAGAGAATTTGAAGCAGATTCCGCGCTCAGCGCAGAGCCCCACGTGGGGCTCTGTCCCACAACTGTGAGATCCTGACCTGAGCCGAAACCAAGTGTCAGACGTTCAACTGACTGCACCACCCAGGCGCCCCTGATTCCTTTTTTATAGCTGCATAGTAGTCTGTTTAGGTGGATGTACTGGAGGTGATTCAGCCACTCCCCTGTGCAGACATTTGGGTTGTTTTCAGTCTTCTCCTAATTCAAATAGTACTTTAAATTGAAAATAAAGTTTTTCTCCAAGACCCTCTGAAGACATCACAAAATTTTCCCCCATCTTTCTTACCCATCTTCAGGCATCTTGAGTGTAATAAAGACAACTGTCAGTAGAGTTGGTGACCCTTTCTGCCCACTTAGCAATAAACTCACAGCCCTTTTTTGTCTATTAAAGCTTGACATTTGGTGCCTGAATGTTTTTAACTCTGGTTTAACTCGCTTCTGTATGTAGCCCAAGTGATCACCGTGCAATCTAGGGATGACGGGGCTGTCTCTTGAGTCCCTTCCCAAGTCCAGGTTCTTTTTCAAGGGTGAAAGATGTTTCAGTTTCTTACTGAGAGAATGTGGATGAACCTTTCCCCTTTCTTTTTAGCTGAGCTCCTTGCTAAGAAACAGCCACTGAAAACCAGTGAGGTGTACTCTGATGATGAGGAAGAAGAGGAGGATGACAAGTCCAGCGAAAAATCAGACCGCTCGTCCCGCACGTCATCGTCTGATGAAGAGGAGGAGTAAGCTTGCATAGATATTGGTCTAGTAGTCAGGATAGGTGGGTTCTTTGGGGAGAAACTTAGCGTGGCTTCCAAAATGTTCTTGTGTGGATGGTGAACTTTGATTTGGTTCAGTACCCTGAATTGCAGAGCTGAGTTCCCCAACACATCAGCCCAAAAATGTGCTCCTGCCTTTGGCAATCTAGCCTGCACCACTCGACGTCTCATCTGGGCCTGGCAGGTAAGGACTGACTTCATGTCACCCTCAGACTGGTCTGGAGCTTCCGTGACTTTTCTTACTCTGATAGGTTATCCGGAATGATAGGCTCATTGCAGACAGTTCATACAGGAGCAGGGTTCTCTTACCACCCTTTCCTGTGGCTTCATTTATTTCTCTTATGGTTAATCACACGTACTTTGGTTTAGTGTTAAGAAGTTGGTAGTATTTATCTTGATCTGATTTTTGTTGTTGTTGTTGTTTTGTTTGTTTGTGAGGTTTTTGGTTTTTCCAGAAAGAGAGAGAGCACATGCCAGAGGCTGGGGGTGGGGAGCAGAGGGAGGGAGAGAAAATGTTAAGCAGGCTCCATGCCCAGTGTGGAGCCCAACACGGGGCTGGATATCGCAACCCTGAGATCATGACCTGAACCAAAATCAAGAGTCGGGGACACTTAACCGACTGAGCCACCCAGGCACCCCTTGATCTGTTTTTATGAGGAACACTTTTCCCATTGCCCTTTATTCCTCACAGGAAAGAAGAGATCCCTCCCAAATCACAACCAGTCTCCTTACCCGAGGAATTGAATCGGGTTCGATTATCACGGCATAAGCTAGAGCGTTGGTGTCACATGCCCTTCTTTGCTAAAACGGTCACAGGATGTTTTGTACGGATTGGCATTGGAAACCACAACAGCAAACCAGTTTACCGGGTTGGTGTTTCTTTCCATGGACAATTGTCCATGTTTTAAATATAATGATTCTTGACTGGGAGTAGGAGCTGCTGAACAAGTCTGTCACTTTTCTGCTACCATTTGATGGGAAAATAGACTCTAATTGAGATGCCTGTAGAATAATGACAATCTGAGGTAACCAGAGATCATGCATGACCTGCTGTCAGAAAGAGTCTTTGGAGTCCAATGGAGGGGGGTTTGGATTTAAACTAACTCTTTTTATTTTCCCTTCATATAAAAGCAAGAAGAGAGACATTTAGGGAGTATTCATTGGGAGTTACATAATCTGGAAGCTTTGTTCATTTGAAAAATAAATAAATGAAAGTTTTCCATGTTACATGGAAACAGAATTATATTGAGGTTTAAAAACAAACACAAAAACACAAAAAACCACCTACCAACCTAAGAGAGGTGGTTTTGTGAGTTCTGGCACTGCTTCTATGATCTGGATGGCTGGAACAGAGCTGTTTGATTTTTTTCTTTTTTTCTTTTTGTTTGTTTTAGCCTGGGTTGTATGGTTTTAATATGTGTTTACCTCCTTCTGTGAAGACCAACACCCATGCCGAGTCCCAGAAAGCTTGACAAACACAAACTGACTTCCATGGTCTTCATATTTGGTTGATAAAAGTGACCTCTGAGATCCCAAGTACATCCCCTTAGTAAGGTAGAATTAAGTCAGAGGGGAAGCTCCTGATGGGCCCCACCAGGCTAACTGGCTCCTCTCCTGGCGCTTGCTCACTCTGTGTTTGGGGCTTCTGGTGCTTGGCCATCTGGGTTCTGAACCTGAGGAAGGTGCCCAGAGCCCCTGGCAGCTGTGGGGTCCTCTCAGTGCAGGGCCACTCGTCCGCAGTTAGGTTGGTAGAGCCAAAGAGGGACTGGTATGGAGAGCTCTGAAAGAGTGTTTTTAACTGGCGTCTCTGTCCTTTCACTTAGGTGGCTGAGATCACGGGTGTTGTGGAAACCGCTAAAGTTTACCAGCTTGGTGGCACCAGGACAAACAAAGGGCTCCAGCTACGGTAGGGGGCGCTGCTGTGGGCTTCTGCTCCTGCCGCACACGGGCGCTGCCTGGCGGGGCCCGCTGTGATGGCTCCTTTTTGTCTGTTTTAAGATTGTATTTATTTATTCGACAGACAGAGACACAGCGAGAGAGGGAACACAAGCAGGGGGAGCAGGAGAGGGAGAAGCAGGCTTCCCTCGGAGCAGGGAGCCCGATGCGGGGCTCCATCCCAGGACCCTGAGATCATGACCCGAGCCGAAGGCAGAGGCTCAAAGACTGAGCCACCCAGGAGCCCCCCAGTGTGATGTTTCTTGTTAGAGTGAATTTCTCTTGTCCCCATAAGGGCCCTGGAGGGAACCTTATTCTGCCTTCGGGATCTCTCTCTCAGAGGGGAATCTAGGACAAGAAGTGGTAGGACACAGAGAAGGAAAAGAGCAGGTTGGGGGCCCCCCCATCCAGAGCCCTGCAGGCATTCCCTTGGTGACCATGGTCAGGACGCTTGCGTCTGGTCCTGGCTCTGTCCCTAACTAAGCTGATCTTTGACAGGTCAAGCCACCTTTCAGGACTTGGTTTCCTCTTCTGTAACATGATCCTTACTGAGTGCCTGCTACATGCCACTGTTCTGGGCATCAGGGTAGAGGCAAAAACAAAGTAGACACACACAAATCCCTGCCCTCTTGGAGCCTGAAAATTCTAGAGACCCTGTATAAGAAGGAATAGAAGTCGTTTGCCAGAATCACTGCAAATAGTAGCTGATAGATTCAGTTGTACCATGGCCTAATTTGGTCTCTGGTCTCCATTCCCTTCTCCTGTCCCCATCATCTTTCCTGGTCTGTTTTAAAAGAACCAGTTGGGGTAGGCAGTGATGATGACATGCAGAGAGTGACTGTCCCTAGGGGAATGGCACTGACTCCCTTAACTTTGCCACCATAGGGGTCAGTCAGAAGGCAGTATGCTTTCTCTCTAGGGAATGGAGTTTCCTTGTCATTCAGATATCTACATAATATTTCATATTCTTGATGCCAGTCGACGGTGACAGATTTTATTGTAAATGGACTTTTGAAGCACTGGCCAAGTCCAATTTTTCCCCAGTCTAGCTGTGATTCTTTATCCTGGCTGCCCATTAGAACAGCCTGGGAGGTATTGTTTGTTTAATTTCATTTCCTCGTCCTTTCTCCAGGAGATTCTGATTCAGTTGAACCAGAGTGGTGCTTTGACATCAGAATTTTTACAGATCTTCCTGGGTGATTCTAAAGGGCAGCCAGGATTGAGAACCACAGAGATGGGTGGTTCACAGTCTGGTTGGGTCGCTCTGCTGCTACCACAGGTAACATACCCATTCTTGGAGGTGCTGTCTCTTTTTTACGTAGGCATGGCAACGACCAACGAGTGTTCCGCCTTGAGTTTGTCTCAAACCAAGAATTCACTGAAAGCGAATTCATGAAATGGAAAGAAGCGGTAAGTTTATAGATAGCACCTAGCAGTTCATGAAAACTCTGAGGAAGTTTCCAGAATCTCTCATTAATAATTTTTTTGTCTTGTTTCGGTCTAGATGTTCTCTGCTGGCATGCAGTTGCCCACTCTAGATGAAATCAATAAGAAGGAGTTGTCTATTAAAGAAGCTCTTAATTATAAATTCAATGACCAGGACATTGAAGAGGTGAGAAACCCGGCACCCCGAGACCGGAGGTTCAGTAGGAGCCGGTGTTCGGGCGGGTGGTGCCTTTCTTCTCTTCCCTGTGTCTTGCCGATTTTAGCTGTGCTGCTGCACAAGGGCTGAGAGGGTGTTGTTACTACTGCCTTCTTAGCACTTCATCCAGATTTCCTCTGTGCGTTCTCATTTGAAGTCCTGGAGTACAGAAGTGCACTGAGAGTTCAGGGATCTGCATTCTGCTAGGCTTGGTCCTTCAGGAGTTTCCTTTCTGCAAAACATTTTGGTAAAATTCTTTGATCACTGTCCTCTTGGACAGTGGCTAGCCTTCCAGCACCAGGTCCTTGGGCCGCTGCTGTTTATTGGTGTTTGTTCCTTCAGACTGTGCCAGAAGAATTTCCGTGGCGCTGGAAGCAACGTAGTAGCCCTTGGAATGAACTCGCTCGCTCTCTCTGGGGCGTGACACTGCCGTAGGAAGAGCAGCCCCCTTTTAACTAGCTGCTTGCCTCCAAAACGGGCTCACTTAGCCTGTCTCCAGAAATAGTTTAGGAATACCTCACTGCTGGTATCTCCTCTCTGGTACAGATTGTAAAGGAGAAAGAAAGGTTCAGGAAAGCTCCACCCAACTATGCTATGAAGAAGACTCAGCTGCTAAAGGAAAAGGTGAGGACTTGCACTTGAACCTCCTTCCTCGTCCTGTAAGATGTGGAAATCAGACTTGTTCATCTCCTGCTCAGCTGGTGGTGGCAGGATTGGGCTCCAGAGGAAGCAACACGGTGCTTCCTTGGCACCCGGGCACCATCCCTTGGCCATTTTCCTTTCTGTAAATTGATCGTGTCCGTTCCATTCTCCTTACTTCCTAGTCCCTTTTGTTTTATGTGTAATAAGACAGAAGCCAGGGTCCTCTCAGCACTGGGTCTGAACAGATGATCCGCCAAGCCTGGCTGAGGTGGGTGGCTTTCCATTCTTCACATCAGGATGGGGGTGAGCGAGCCCCATGGGGCCTGGGTTCCGAGGTCAGCGTTCCACATCCCTGCTACCAGCGGCCCAGGGCCAGATAGGACGTGGCAAGATGTTAACTACAATAATAAGAATTACACCTTGCGTTTGTAAAGCTTGTTTTCAGTGTCCTGTCATATTTCCTGTCGTTTGTTCATCACGTGAGCTGTCTCGCCTGTGCTGGAAGTAAGAGGACACTTGATCCGGGGCCCGTCACAGCCCAAAACTCACACGTCTGTCTGTGTGCAGGCCATGGCTGAGGACCTGGGGGATCAGGACAAGGCCAAACAGATCCAAGACCAGCTGAATGAGCTGGAGGAGCGGGCAGAGGCCCTGGACCGCCAGCGGACCAAGAACATATCCGCTATCAGGTGTGTCACAGGGCCCGCTTCCGTTGGGCTCCTACTCTGGACCCACAGACCGTGTCACAGTCGTCAGACGCGCCCGTGGCCTTGCCCACGCTGCGCTGCGCTGGCTCCGTGTGGCTCCGGGGTCCGGGCTGAGGGCTTCCCTCCCTCCTTGCACAGCCCGCTGACTCCCCCTTTCACTCACCCACAGTTACATCAACCAGCGGAACCGGGAGTGGAACATCGTGGAGTCTGAGAAGGCCCTTGTGGTGAGTAAGACAACTGTATTTGGAGCGCTGAGAACAGTTTTAATGAATGAAACGATACAAAGTCTTCTCTAGGGGCGCCTGGGTGGCTCAGTTGGTTGAGCGACTGCGTTCAGGTCATGATCCCGGAGTCCTGGGATCGAGTCCCACGTCGGGCTCCCGGCTCAGCGGGGAGCCTGCTTCTCCCGCTGACCTTCTCTCCTCTCATGCTGTTTCTCTCTCTCTCTCTCTCTCAAATAAATAAATAAAATCTTTAAAAAAAAGACAAAAAACGAAGTCTTCTCTACATCTTGCTCCCGTTTATTTTTTTAGTTATTGGCGTAACGTGTACACTTCACATACATGTGCTCTGGGTGCACATGTACACCCATAAGATTTATTGATTGATGACGAAAAGCAGCAGTCTCCTGCCCGTCTCGCCCTCCCCACCCCACCCCTTAGCTTCTACTCCATGGGTGTGCATCTTCATCGACTTGCACTTCTGTTCTTTCGGTTGCTGCCCCCGTCTGCTCTGGTGTTCTTGAAGGGAAGAGGATGAGAGACCACTTTTGACTTTCTTTAGCCCTTGCCAAGACTGTATTTATATGTAAGCTTCGGATAAACGAGAGGCGGGGGGAAGGAGACACAGTTCTGTAATGCATGCTGTCTGTTTCAGGCTGAAAGTCACAACATGAAAAACCAACAGATGGATCCCTTTACGAGGCGGCAGTGCAAACCTACCATCGTTTCTAATGTGAGTGTCGAAAGAGGACGTTTTTAGTCAGGACCTAGATTCTAGGACATAAAATGAATCCCATTAGGACATTAATAAGGAAGTTAAAAATAATGTTGTCTTAGTGGGATTTTCTTGCCTCGAACTCTTGGGTCTGGCTACCTCTTTTTCTTTTTTTTCTTTTTTTAAATCTTGCTGTAGGCCATACAGGGAGTGAAAACCTGGCACGGATTTGTAGATACCTCCAGACTCACCCCTCCTGTGTCGGGGTGGGTTTACCAATGCAGCAGACATTAGGATTGTGGAGGCTGGGCCACCTAGGGCCAGGCCGGCCTGGGCTGGGCTTCAGAGCTTTAATTGCCTCTCTTTGCTGCCTTGAGGAAAACCCCACTGAGCTGCTGATGGGTCCACTGTGGTGCTTGTGATGTTAGCATGGTCGATGGGAAAGAATCTGGTGTTGCCCTGTGTGATTACTAAATAATCTCTAAAATAACTTAATTTCTCTCTCAGTCCAGAGACCCAGCTGTTCAAGCTGCCATCTTGGCCCAGCTGAATGCAAAATACGGTTCTGGAGTGTTACCAGATGCTCCGAAGGAAATGAGCAAGGCAAGTGCAGTGCTGCCCTGTGGCCCGCAAGGCTGCCGGCCCAGACACTTGGCCTGGGTTAGGCCTGACTCTTCCCACGTGGAGGAACATAGCATCCCACTTGCAGCCCTTTCTCCATCCTAATTCTTTACAAATACGATAAACAGCTACTGAACTTTGACTTTGAAAACCTAAATGCTAAACCCAACACCACTACTTAACTAAGGCCTTGATTACAGCTTTAGGCAACTGACATCTAGCCCTCTGATCCACATTTTCTCGCGTGTTAAAATGGGGATAATACTCTATCCTGCTGCCTCACAGGATGATTAGGAAAAGCTGATGACACATAACGATCAGATGGTTGTAAAGGTGAAAGCTCTTTGAGAACTAAAATGTTAACAGAGAAACTGCCCACTTAGAAGCAGTTTTTTGCGTAAGTTAGGTCTTTTCCTGTGGAGCCCAAACTGTCCCGGGAATTTCTGAAATCTTGGGTCAGAAGGTAGCTTATTGTCTTAAGCCCCTCGTCCCCCACACCACAGACACGAGCCTTCCCTTTCCTCTTTTAGGCTTCAGAGAAGAAACCTTCCTGGGGCCTCTCCTATCCCCCCTCTGAGAGAAGGGACCAGAAAGAGCTGGTCAGCTTGAGCCAAAGCGTTTTTGACCATTAGTGGCTGCCGCCTCTTGAAGTCCACTTGCATTTGTACTTTAATGCTGAGTTTTTCTCTTCACATTGCAGGGTCAGGGAAAGGATAAAGATTTGAATTCTAAGTCAGCCAGCGACCTCTCCGAAGATTTGTTCAAAGTACATGATTTCGACGTGAAGATTGACTTACAAGTTCCCAGCTCGGGTAGGTGAGGGTGGGGAAGCGGTGTTGGCTGAGGACCGGACGGCACCGGGGCTGACTTGGCCAGTAGGGAGGCCCGGGGTTCGGGGGAAAGTGCGGGTGTCCGCGCCTCCGCAGCTATAGAGGCCAGGGGGAGCGGGGACAAGGCAGCAGGCTACCGGAGGAGTGCAGCACAGGACTTCACCAAGGGCTTGGTAGGCTCCTCAGATGCCAGTTTGCTCTTCTCTCCCACAGAGTCAAAGGCTTTGGCCATCACCTCCAAGGCTCCGCCAGCCAAAGACGGGGCTCCAAGGAGATCGCTAAACTTGGAAGACTACAAAAAACGACGAGGGCTTATTTGAGCGCACCCAGCCTGCTGCCCCTGACCCTGCATGCCCCATCCGCAGTGTCCTCCTTCCCTCTGATTCGCCCTCTCTGGGCTGGAGCAGCAGCAGAACTGGGAAGAGACTCTGGAACTGCCAGTCATCTGTAATATAAACCATTTGCTGTAAAGACCTCCCTTGTCTGCACCATCTCCCACCCACCCGCCAGGCCTCTCACCCAGTGTGGGCCTGGGCTCTCTTGGGCTTTATCCATGTCTTTAGATTTGTGTTTGCCTTTTTTTTTGTTTCGTTTTTGTTTTTGTTTTTAAACCAGCACAGTTCATTGGCCACTCTGCACACATTCAGTATTAGCGTGGAGCTGGGATTCCTGCTGGAGCCCCTGGTGGCGACAGCGGCAGCACTCGGCAGTCTCCTCCGTGGGCTGCCTGGGACCCACCCATTGGCCGTTTGGCACCGGACCCTTGTGGAGGGAGTGGGGACTGGGCACCTGCAGTCCTCCTTCCTCTCTCATCTTTCTCTTCTTCCCATCTCTGCAGAAGAGAGGTTTTCAAATCCAATTTAGTTTCCAAAAAGTGTACATTTGTGGGGTGGGAGGGGGGACTATTTGAGAGAGAGAGAGAGAGAGAGAGAGAGAGTGTGTGTGTGTGTGTGTGTGTGTGTGTGTGTGTGTCTGTAAGTGTGTGGATTTTTTTATCATTTTTTTAAACTGCAGTACTCTTTGTATCAGTCTGTCATGGGTCTATCGCTGTTTCAGATTTTTTTCAGCTGTACTCGAGCATCTGAAACCGCAAGAAAGAAACTCATTAAATGTGATTCTTCTTACTAAACAGGCCTGACTGCTGTAGCTGTGTGACCTCCCCTCCCCTCCCCCTTCAGAGAGAGCACCCCGTGCAGCCCCTGCCCTGTATAGGCTGTGTTCCGGCCGGTGGGCGGGAAGCCCCTGGCCAGGTACCAGACGGGGCAGCGCGGGCGTCGTGCTCACCCCGTGGGTATGGCCCGCAGCTTCTTGGCTGAACACAGACTGTATCTTTTCCCCACCCCACGTACGTGTCTCTTCCTCGTGAATCTGTTTTGCTGTTTCGGAAAGAATAATATTTTGTCTTGTTTTTTTAAGAGAAAGTATTCAACGTGAATGCAGAGAGAACGAACACAGAAAGGATTTAGGTTGCAGATGTTCCAAGCATGTGTTTTGTGTGTGTGTATACATATATATATGGTAAGCATATATATTGTTGTGCAGCGAGGGTGAAGCCAGCAAAGAAGTGTGTATGTCTTTATGAAATGTTTGGAAAGAGATAAGCTGACTGCTTGATAATCATTCTCAGGTGTAAAGCTCCAAGTGTAAATAAAAGTGGCATTTAACAAATCTTTTCAGAACAAAGTACAGCTGACTGCATATACCCAGAACTAAGCTAAAGAAACAGCTGAGAGCCGCTGAGCCCCGCGAGAGGGGGAGGAACTTAGAGGCTCCGCTTTGTACTTCTTCACCCTACTTTTCCGTAAGGAAGTGGGATGATGGGAAATCACGGACTTCAGTTGTATTTAAACAGAAAAATGAACTTGGTGACTCTTCTGGGTTTAGTGGAGCCTCGGTGTTGCTTTAACTTAGTTTACACTTTTTTTATTTGAAAAAGAAGCAGCAATGGATGGTTTTTTAAAACGTATTGTGACTGTAAACTTGGTGAACTGTGACTGTAACACAGCTCTGTGGTAGGCTGTGTCGCAGTTCGGTTGGGCAAAGGTGGGCGATGGACTCATTAAAATCATCTATACTTGAACAGTCCATTGACCGAAACCCTTTACAGACTCTTGTGTAAATGTGGAATCACAGACTGCGAACCGTTGCCCGGACTCCGGCAGAGTCCTGGAGGCTGCTGGGACCTCTCCTATCATGACGAACCTGGACTGTTTTCTTTCTGGTTTTCAAAGACATGAAATTATAGGATCCATATAATTTGCTGGAGTCATTCTGATCCACCATGTAGATCTGTATTTAGTATCATTTGGATTTGGAGAAGTGTCGATTACATTATGGCTGTGTAATAAAATTTTTATTAAAACTGCATCACACTGTAGCCACTTTGCCCCTGCCTCCCCACACGCAGCCGCTGAAACTTGCTTCTGAGACGCCAGCACACGGCAAGGAGAAAGGCCAAGCAGCATATCACCTGAGTAGTCTCCTCGGTGATTGGAGTCAGGACCGAGAACTCGTCTCCAATCTCCACTGAGGCAAGGCCTCTGAACCGAGATCTTGACCAGGCAGAAGACTTTGGCTTGGTCCCCCTCCCCCCAAACCCCCACCCCAGCTACGTTTCTTGGCAGTTCTCGGTCTTTCTTAGGCTGGGGAGTTGCTGCCGTGGCTCCCTGCTCCACACGCACTCCCCTCCATGTGGTTCAGTGTTGAAGGGTGCGTCACCTAAGGCTGTTTTGTACATTTTTCACTTCCTTCCAAGAAGGGAAAAGGCCAGTGTCCATCAGCCTAGCTCATGATGTATAGGTCTGTTTGTCTGTCTTGGCTTCTGACAGGTGCAGGGAAAGTCTGCTGCCTACAACTTCCCTTCAGAAAGAATGCTTTTGTTCTCTTTGCTTCGGTGGAGTCCTGACCTGTCACTCAAACTGTACAGATATTTGTAAATAAACTTTCCACCCTGTTTGAACGAGGGGATCAGATGTGGGTCCAAGGATTGCATTCCAAGTCGTGACTCTCAAAGTCATGTTTTGAAAGACCAAGAGAGCCTCTCTTTTCCTTGGTTTTCCTCCTTCCCCTTCTCTTAGCCTGACACTCCTCAAAGTAAAAGTGGCTGTTTTCAACTCTTCAGCAGCCTGGTTCCCCAGAAGCTTCTCTGCAAGCTCTCTAGAGCCAGGAGCCCTCCAGTTGGCCTGCTCTACTTCCTACCTTGGAGGATAACCACCAGCTTCAAGGGAACCTGGTAGGACCCTGTTAACACTGCCTAACCCCAGTGAGAGGCTGCTGCTTCCAGCCTTCAGTTGACCTAGGCACAGTGAAGGGGGAGCCTAGGGACTGGAGGCTGTGGAGGAAATACTAGAATCCTTTCCTCAGTCTCCCACGCTAGGGCGATCTGTAAGGGCTCCACACCCCCCACTCGCTGAGGAGGTGTCTCAGACCTTCCTGACCATGTTTTAGGAAGCAACATCCTGGATCATCTACTCCCCTTTAGAGATGGGAAGGTGGGAGGTGACAGTCAAAATGGTAGGAGCCCAGTCCAAGCCTGCCTCTGGTGTTGGGAGAGGGGAGGTCCCTGGGGCTCACCCTGCAGCTGTGCCCAGTGAGGTGTTCCCCAACTCCTTAACACTCCCACTACCTGACTGCTGGGAACAGGGGACTCCCTAGGCGCTAGAGAGCAGGGATTCTTGGCAGAGAACAGCCTTATCTGTGCATCTCCCAGGATCCAGTGCCCTGGGGCAGCCATACCTAGGGGCAGAAAGAAAGCTGACTGCCACAGGCAGAGGGGAGAGAGGTATAGGGTCAGTCAACTTAATCTTAGGGCCCTGGTGGCGGGGGGGCTTTCCTTGGGTAGTCCTGGACACCAGGGTGCCGCAATTCTAGGGAGCCAGGAGACCGTCAAACCCCTAGCACGGAGTTTTTGCGTGACTTCACTGGCCACTGGGGCCCTCTGAGTTCCCTTGAGGAGGAAAGCGTTGGGCTGGAGGGAGCAGCAACACTGTAAGAGGGCCAAGGGGCAGCCTGTCTTCTCTGTAAAGTTCCCCAGGCCAGCCCCAATCCTGGCTGAGCAGAACCTGGAGGTAGAATTTCTTGGCCCTGCATGGGGGTTTAGCTACTGCAGCATAGGCACATCTAGGGATTCCAGATGGTGCTCTGGGCCCAGCGGGGAGCCAAGAGTCCCAAGGCACTGCAGGCTCAGGACAGGGTTCACATCCCAGTTCTGCCACTTACTACCTAGGGCTGAGCTAGTTAACCCCAATGAGCCACGAATTTCCCATCTTTAACATAGGATCTGTCAGGTTTAAAGACAGATAAAGATTAAGTGTACCTTTCCCCAGAAGCGGTTCAATAAATGCTGTTGTTAGAGCAGAGGCTGCTGGGCTTGGGAGGAGAGACTCCGGGGACGGAGTGGCAGGGGTCGGGATGGAGTGGGCAGCAGGTCGAGGGACGGGGTGTAGGCAGCAGGAGACCAGCCAGAGTGGAGCACTCACTTGGCTCAGAAACTCCAGTGGGCACTGGGGCTGGCCTGGGGTAAGTCCAGAGGCGCAGAGCGGCTTTTTGGCCTGCCCTCTCCAGACTGGCCAATCTGAACGTGGCTCGGAAGGCCACCCCACCTCACCACCGCCCCCGCAGGCTCAGGAAGATTGTGAGGCTTCACCCACCCACCACCACCAAGAGTCATTCAAACATAAAACAGTACCAAACCGGAAAGTACGGGTGAAGAAGACTAACAAAATGTTCTGATCCTTCCCACGGTGACTATCCCAATACCCTCTTTAAAATATCAAATTATTATGAGGCACGTGGGTGGCTCAGTCAGTTAAGCCACTGACACTTGATCTCAGAGTCCAGAGTTCTCGCCCCATGGAGCCTACTTAAAAAAAAAGTTATTTTTGGGGGCGCCTGGGTGGCTCAGTTGGTTAAGCGACTGCCTTCGGCTCAGGTCATGATCCTGAGTCCCAGGATCGAGTCCCACATCGGGCTCCCTGCTCAGCAGGGAGTCTGCTTCTCCCTCTGACTCTCCTCCCTCTCATGCTCTCTCTCTCTCATTCTCTCTCTCTCAAATAAATAAATAAAATCTTTAAAAAAAAAAAAGTTATTTTCTTTTTTAGCTGTCAGTGACCCTACTTTGCAAAGTGCGCGGAGACGGCATCTCGCTCAGCCCACATTCGCCTCTCACCAGGAATGCACTGGTCTGTCTCCATCCATTTCCCCGGGAGAACGCCTCACCCTTCAGCGCTACCTCCTCCGGAAGCCTTCCTTGATCTCCTCTCCCTCTGGGGTTTGGGAGCAGCTTCTGCTGGTTCTCCCTAGCGCGGCACTCACTCAGCTGTAGTGTTATTATTTATGAGTCTCCACCCTCAGCCTGGAAGCTACCTGTGTCTGCCGCGTATCCCCAGCACCCAGTGCCACCTGGCACTTAGTTAACGCCCAATAAATGTGGGGGAAGGAAGGGGGGCAAGCGGATGTCTGCGAAGCTGCTGCGCTTGGGGCATTCGATCCCACCTTTCCGTCCCACCCTGTCCCCAGACGGCAGCGCCCGCGGGTCTGAGACCCCAGGGTGCCCATCCTTTGGGTTCGACCCAAGACGGCGAGAAAGGCCGCTGCGGCAGATGGCAGCGGCCCGCTCACCCGGGGCGGGTGCGCCGCGGGGCCCCGACGAGCCCACAGCCTCGGCCTCTGCTCGCCCACTCGGGGCCCCGCCGCTTGCACGTGCGCGTGCTCCTCCGGGCGTGGACGCTAGCGGGACGCCCGTCCCGGCGACTTTCCGGACTTGGGAGCGCAGCCCCAGCTTTCAACCCCCGCGGCCGGCGGGGAGGCGGAGCCGGCGCTAGCAGCTTGCCAACCCCGCCCCGCCCCCTCCGTCCGCCCCCGCCCCCCCGCCCCGCGGTGGCTCCTCGT